AAGAAAAAGAAGAGGTCTCCATCCATCCCTGGACGCTGTCTTTGGGGAATTCCCTTGCTTTTCAAGCTGCCTTGGAGCTGAAGTCTAGCTGGAAGATCGTATTTTGAGGGAGCCTGGTTCCGTCTACAGCACGAGACTCTGTACTCACTCTCTGTAATCCTTGCCTACTGATTCTGCCCTCCCCACCCCAGCTGAAAGGGTATGAGCCTATAATGGGGAAGCTGGGGATGTGAACATCACCGTAGATACTGAGCAACTAAAGACAAAGTCACAATCTAAATAGTGAAAAGCTTCCTAAGTTGGGTAAACTGCAGAGAGAACACCCTGAAAACACAACTGTGCTTTTTTGAGTGGTGCCTGCACATATCTTCCCGTGCCCACCGGGAAGGCAATGACAGAGGCCAGCTATAAGACAGGATGGGGGCTGGAAAGACGGTAAGTAGTTACGTGCACTGCTCTTGTGGAGGACCTGGGTTCCATCCCCAGAACTCGTTTCAGGTGGTTTACAACTACTCATAACTCCAGCTTCCAGTGGATCAAATACCTTCCTCTGGTCTCCTTAGGGACCAGCACATGTATGCACATAATAAAATATTTTAAAAATAAAATTTGAAGCCAGGTGGTGGTGGCTGTAGTAGATGCCTTTGAACCCAGCACTTGGGAAGCAGAGGCAGGTGGATCTCTGTGAGTTTGAGGCCAGCCTGTATACAGAGCAGGTTCCAGAACATCCAGGGCTACACAAGGGGAAAAAAAAAAAACCAAAACACCCTGTCTGAACAACACCCCCCCATCCCTGGGTGAGAGAGAGAGAGAGAGAGAGAAAGAGAGAGAGAGAGAGAGAGAGAGAGCACAAACAAACAAGAGCTTGGGAGATGGATGGGTCCGTGAGTAAAAGCTTCAGGGTCTGAGTTTGAATCCCCTCTACCCATCCACAGCTGAGCATAGCCTCGAATGTGTTCCTCTGATGAGATGGGAGGGGAGACAGGAAACTCTCTAGAAGGTGGCCTGGCACCCACAATGACAAAACAACATGGGACCCTGTCTCACCAAGATGAAAGGCAAGGACGGGCTCAAGGTTGCCCTCTCATCGCCACATCTCTACTATGGCATGTGCCCACACTCACGTACAAATGTCTCTCCCTCCCTCTCTCCTCTCAGCCTAATTAAATACTTAAGAAACAAAAGCCACAAAGGCCAGGGATGCAGCTCACTGGTCGAGCACCTGCCTAGCATGAGCAAGACCTTGGGGTCAACACCCAGCACCACTAAACAAAATGAGGTCAACAGAACCCAAAGGGGGTAAGAGGTAAATAAGTCAAAGTGCCACACTGGTTCTGTGTGGCAGCCATGGGCTCAACACTGCTAGAATCTTAGCATCTTTCTTTAAGATGACCTGCTGGGAAAGTGGCACCTTTCTGTTCACCTCAGTGCTCATGTTTGCCAGGCTGCATGATGGGAGTACTAACATGGCTGTAGTTCATCCATAGGGATTGCCTTCTGATGGAATTTCTCTTATAGTCTGCCATAAACAGACTTAGTAGATTCAGGATTCTTCCTGGCTTTTCATCTCACAGACACAGGTTGCTCCTGACTCCCTGCTCCTTACCTGGATCAGCCTGGCTTCAGAGTCACAGCAGAAAGCTGTAAATATAGGCATGAGCTACCATGCCCAATAAAAGTTCTGTTTCTCTTCCTTCCCTCCCTTCCTTCCTCTTTCCCTCCCTCCCTTCCTTTCTTCCTCCCTCCCTTTCTTTCTCCCTCCCTCCCTCCTTTCTTCCTTCATTTGTTCCTCTTTAAATCAAGATCTTAAGAAATCTTCTGTCTTAGTCTTCCAAGTACTTGGAGTAGTTTACCCACAATGCTCAAGTTCTCCCAGTAAATCTCTTGCACATCAAATTCTGTATTCATAACCACTTGAAAAATCTGGACAGATTGAATTCATAGTCGGGTTCAGCAGCACCAGAAAGCCGACCTTTGGGGGGGGCAAGCCTGGAAAATGTTGTCAGATTTGGAGAAGTCTGTGGACAGAACCAATTTTACAGTGTTAGGAAAGAAGTCTTCTCTCCCTACCTAGGACTTGATTTCCTCTAGTGACTGTTGGTGAATGGTAAGGAATGCACATAACACAGTGGTCGGGCTCCAGCAATTTAGAGCAGCCACCATTAGTTACTAGTGTTTTTAGACTGAAAAGCAGAAGCTGGCTTGAAAAAAGAAAGGTACAGGTCCATCCTAGCAGTGGTTCATTGTAGGAATTTAACAGAATCATTGTGTCTAGGGTAGATATTAGAGTGAACAACCATTTCTTTTTACAAGTACTTTGACCTTGAAAATCCTTGTAGAAAACAGTGATTGTTTCCCATGATCTGTAGAATTGTTTTATTCAGTCCATCCTAGGAACCCAGCTGGCCCCTCTGGTGACTGAATCCCCTAGCAGTGAGGGAGGGTTCTGTGTTCTCCCAGGGAGGCAGGGTGCCTTTATGGCTTCCTGCAGGGCCCAATATGGTGTCCTCCTGAAGGGAGTGGGGAAGACCTGAGAATTTGAGGCGATCTCTGTGCAGCAGCTTCAGACAGGCAAAGAGATGGGCTGCACTGGAACTGGGAAGTGGGGTCAGGCTCCAGACTCTGGAGACCCGACCCAACAAAGAGTCTCATCCCTCTGAGTGCACGGAACCTGAGTTGTTGTGGGCGGAGCTCATTTTAAGGGGTCCTTGTACTCCCAGAAGCCAGTTTATGGGTTAGGGTTTGGCTCTGTGTGGGGTCACAGCTGACCCAGGGAAAGGCAGGGATTCTGGAAGATGCACAGTCCCTTCTTCCCTGCTGATCCAGAGCCCACAGCGGCCTCCAGCTCCGGCCTGGACACCCAGGGTAAGCCAGTTCCCACTAGAACCATCGGGCCCCACAACTCTCCATCATTTCCTTGTGGACTTTTTAAAGAAGTCCATTTCCTGGAAAGGAAATTCAGTGACAGATTCCTTGGCTGACTCTAAGCAAAAAAAAAAAAAAAAGTCCAGCAGCCGCTGTTTGTCTTGTTGCTCTCTCTGCTTTTACTACCTTCACTCCTCCTCCTCCATTACAGCTGCCCACTTCTGGTCATCACTATGCTCTGTGGCCCAGCATCCCTTTTCTGCCAGGTGGATAAGAACCAATATGCTAATCCTACCAAGGACCTCGTTAGTCCCTCCCTCTCCCCCTCCCCCTTCAGAGCGGCTTTACTGGCCAACCAATTAATTCTTTCCAATAAAAGAGTGAAGAAATGAGCCCCTGTCCACAAGTCGGTCATCAGACCCTCATGCATTCCCGGCATTCTATCCTTTCTTCTCTCCATTCCCACTTTTCACAAACTCTAGATCTCCAGTGTGGTCCCGTCTGTCGGTGTGTCTGCCCTTTCCTTCTTTCTTCCTAACTGGGAGGCATGTACACCTGGGGTGGGTGGACTCTTTGGGCGGGCTACTCACCCTCTCTATGCCAATTGCCACACTTGTAAAACAGGACGACACCTTAGAGAACCGTGTTAAACGGAACGAAGCAGAGCCGGCAGCTGGGCCTCCCATTCTCGGGGCTTCCTAGGTTGCCATGTACTACTAGTACACCAGACAGGGAACCGACTGGGTAACACAGCTTCCGAGTTAATGTAAGCCCCAGGTAAGAAAGAGAGCAGGCAGTGGGAAGGGAGTGGAGGACTTGTTGACAGGTCCTTCTTGTCCTTCTCAGTTCTCCCCTTGCCCACAGCTTCTTTTTGTTTGAAAGTATGGGGTAGGAGTGGGAGCTCCTCTTTTAAGAGGTATTCCTAGCTGGCCTGGCATGATGGTAGGCACCTATAATTCTGGCTACTCCAGGGGCTGAGGAATTAGGATTGCATGTGTAAGTCCAACCTATGTATAGTAAGAGCCCCCCCCCAGTTAAAAAAAGCATATAATGGAGCACCTTCCTTAAAAAAAATTAGCTGGGCAGTGGTGGTATTAATCCCAGCACTTGAGAGGCAGACAGGCAAATAGATCTCTGTGAGTTCGAAGCCAGACTGGTCTACAGATCAAGTTCCAGGACAGGCTCTAAAGCTACAGAGAAACTCTGTCTCAAAGGGAAAAAAAAGAGGAGGTAGCTCATACCTTTAATTCCAGCAGCCGGAGACATGAGACAGGTAGATCTCTGAGTTCGAGGCTAGCCTGGTCTACATATCAAGTTCTAGGGTAGCCGAGGGTAGACAGAGACAGAACTCTGTCTCAAAACAAACAAAAAACAAAAATGAAAAACCTAAAAGCCAAAACCAAACCAAAATAAAAACAAAACAAAACAAAACAAAACAAAAAAAAAAACCAAAATTGAAAAAAAAAAAAACCCACCCCCCCAAAAAAAATATTGGCATGTCCCTGCCTAACAAAGATAATACAGACTCCATGCCTCCTTCCATTCTCATCTTTTTGGTTTCCTGTGTGTGTGTGTGTGTGTGTGTGTGTGTGTATACTCACAGAGGTCAGGGCCATTGGATGCCCTGGAGCTAGAGTTACTGGCAGCTGTGAGCTACCAGAGGTGGGTGCTGGAAATTGAACTCATATCCTTCTAGACTTAACCACTGAGCCACCAGTCCAGCCCTCATTCCAGGTACCTGTGCTTTGTAGCTGATGTCACACAGTATAGCTCAGGCTGGTCTGGAATTATACACACACACACAACACACACACACACTCACACACACACATATATATATATATATCAGACCATCTCTCTGGCTTCAGGGTTCTTGGATTAAATGGTGTGTACATTCCCTCTTCCCTGACCTCATTTTTGACAGGACTTGCCTTTTAAATGGCATTTCAGAAACAGTCTGTGAGCCAATTAAGTACCCAAAGGCTCCACGGTGTGACAGGGCCACTGTCCTGCTTCAACAGGTTCAGTTTAAGTCTTACTTTTTCTACCCACAAGCTTACTCTTTTGATCTGGGGAAGCAAGCATCTAGAGGTCCCCAGCAACCACGGAAACTGACAGCAATCACAGAACATTCATTTTTGTATACAAAACAGCTTTATTAAAAGTCAGCCCTTACAAGGGTTCTAACAAAATACACATATTCAACTGGACATGGTGACATATGCTTTTAATCCCAGCACTCAGGAGGCAGAGGCAGGTAGAAATCTGGGTTTGAGGCCACCCTGGTCTACAAAGCGAGTTCCAGGATAGCCAGGGCTACACAGAAACCGTGTCTTGAAAAACTGAAACTAAAACAAAAACATATATGTGTGCGTGTGTTTATTTATATACATTTTAAATAAATGTGCTGGACAATTGACAGCTATACTGATACACCAACCACAGATACAATCTCAAAGGCTTTGTAGGGAAGGGAGGTTTATTGAAGATGCTCCGAGAGCCCAGGCACAGGGATCTTTGGCTGCTTGAGGGGCTGGGTCTTAGAGCTGTGAGGTAAGAGTCCTACTTCAGTTTTTCCTTCCTTGGAAAAATGGAAATGTGTAGGAAATTTAAAGTCTGGAGCAGAAAGGCCCAACGTTTATTTCTAAGGCACCACAGGCTCACTCCAATCATGAGGCTCTTGGAGTGGACAAATGGGGGTCAAAGCCATTGGTCCTAGGCGCAGTCATGTGCTTGGCTGGTGTGGCTTTCCGGATTTGGCCACAGGTTAAGTTACAATGGAGCAGGTGGACCCCACAGGCCGAGCAGCCAGTAGCCTGGAGTCAGTCTTTAGACCAAACATATGGCTTTAGTAACATATTGGTGTCTGGCTCTGCCTGATAAGGATGCCACCAGCTCCTAACAAGAGTCCACCAGTGAGTGATAGCACCAGGCCTTCTGCCTAGATCTATCCTCAGTCACTGAGGGCACTCACTGTGGACAAGGACAGCCTGAGGACAGTCCCAACCACTGAGATACAGTGATATCTAGGGAAACTAGCAAGCCCCAGAGCCAGGGGTTTCTCTGAAAGGCACCTCAAAGCTGGTGTCATTAAACCAAACTCCGAAAGCTGACGGCCCACTGTCACTGGTGACAGGCTTCCCTGGTGACATTGGGCAGTGGATAAGCAAAGAGGGAGAAATCCAGGATATATTTAGGCAGCACATCTTGAAGCAGGGCTCGTGGAGCATTGCACAGGTGGTAATGCAGACTTTCTGGGCTGGCCGGCCGATACCAGGCCTGGCGAGCTGGGAACCGGACATGGGGTGGGGCCCGCACCCACTCCAGCACCTGGTTGGCATCAGCCTCCAGTCTCTCATAGGAACCCACAAAGTCGTAGTGCACAGCACATGGTTGGCACAGGTGGTACACAGGCATCCAGTGCTCATTCATGTGCTCAGGATCCTCATCCACCAGGTATCTTAGGAACTCTGGGAAGGTGACATCGTCCCCTGCAGGACTGGGGCCAGCTCCAGCCCTGTAGCGCCTGACAATTTCAGCCCCATAGCGCTGCTGGTACTCTCGGATTTCCCCAAACTTGTTGCGGTAAGCAGACAGGAGGCGTTCCAGGGGGTCTCGCACAAACAGGAACTTAAAGTAATGCTGTAGACGGTAGCGAATCTCCTCAGGCCGCAGGTCTGCCAGAAACACCAGGTCACTGCGGTGGTCCATCTTGAGTCGGACATCCACGTTATCCAGGACGCCCGCCAGCACCTTCAGCACGCGCTTCCAGTTAGAGCAGGCCACTTTGGGGACATAGCAATAGAGGAAGCGGTAGCGGTCACTTACGAGGATGTGGCGCAGCAGGATGCGCCGCTGTCCCACCGGCAAGTCCCAGGGGTCCCGGGGCATGCCCGGTTGTCCGCACACTGCCCTCAAGGTCCGGTTTCGGACGTCCTCTCGCACTTGCAAGTCGGAGTCCCCAGCATCCAAGGATAGGCCTCCAGGCTTGGGAGCTGTCCCACGCCAGGCCGCGCCTTTGTGGCTGGGAGGGTGCAGGGGAAGGGGTTTTATCTCCGATAGGATACCCCGCTCGATCATGAGCAGTAGCCCGCTGGAGGCCACGATCACTGCAAACATCAGCATGGACGGCAGCAGCAGGGGTGGCCCTCCGAGTCCAGCCCGGGCCCTACTCAATGGAGCCCGCCTCAGCGTGCGGCCCAGGGGCTCGGCGCCTTTCGGGGCCGCCAATGGAGTCAGAGGGCGAGGGAACATGGTGATCCAGGCAGACCTCGACGATCTCAGGGATGCTGAGGAAGAGACTGCAGCTGGGACTGGGGATCTCCGGAGGGGAGGGTTAGTGGGTGGCCAGTTCCCGAGTGCAAGGAGGGACCAGGGCCGGATGTCCCGCCCGGCCGCTCTCCACCCCGCCCCCCGCCCCGCCGCGATACATGCTCGGGGGCGGGCCCCCGTTGGGCGGGGAGGGGGGCGGGTGCCCGAGTCCCAGGAGCTGTCTGGGGAGGAGGAAGGTAGACCCTTGCCTTGCCGGGGAGCCTAGGACGCTTGAGTCAGGGCTATTCCAGACTATCCCTCCCACCCCCATTCCCCCGGACCTGGGGACAAAAGCTCAAGTAGACCGGGAAAGCCGAGAAAAGCTAGGCTGAGGTCCCGCGTCTTACAACACAAGCCTTCTGGGGCTGAATTTGCACCCACCATCCTGCTCTGGCAGAGCCGTCCCTCCAACGGTCATCTATCTTGACTGGAAGCAAGGTCTTTATCCGCCCTTACCTTCCTCAGTCCAGGACAGGACCTCTCTGTCAAGCCCTGGCTAATGTCTCCATGGTGACATTTTGGTTTAGTAATTCCTGGGAACCACAATGCTTATCCACTGAGCAATGCTGATCTTTGTAAATGAAATCTCTCCCAAGTTTGAAGCAATAGGCTACCTGGGGCATTCTGGGCAGGGGCTAAGGACAAGTACCTCGGAACCACGTGTGGTCGGTCAATATACACTTCAAGATAACCTGCAAGCAGAGTCTCCTGGTTTGGAGCCAAGATGTGCCCAGTGGCACCAGAGTGACCATGTGGGCTATATATAGTCAGCTCCAAGGGTGCTTTGAAAAGCAGTATTCAACTAGTTCCTGTCTGAACAGAGAGCACAGCTGAACACTCAAGGTTGACTCTACATGTGGGGCCCCAGCAAGGTTATGAAATAGACAACAGGACTATGGGTCAAAGAGTTAAACGTCGTCACAGCCACCTGACGATTTTGAGGGTAGCTGTGACATAGTTTTTTGGTTTTGTTCTTAAGATTTTTAAGTGTTTCACTGAGGAGCCAAGGCTGATCTCTGGATCTTCAAGCCTCAGACTCCTGAGTGCTGATATTACAGGCATGCTCCACCACGCCCATCTCTGTTGATCTTACTCTCATAGATTTCTATCTATGACAGAGCATACCACTAGATGGGGGGAAGTGTTGGACTCAGGATAGGTTATACTCAGAGGGTGATGGAAGGACCAGGCAATAATGGGGACAAGATGAAGCCCATGTACCAGGCAGATGAGGATTCTGAAGGATAAAATGTAGTGTGTGTGTGTGTGTGTGTGTGTGTGTGTGTGTGTTAACGTAGAGGCCTCCAAACTCAGACACACAGAAAACACAGGGTAAAGGTCAGAACAGAACTAGGAGGTTAGGTGGCCCTTCTGGCTTCCCGGCGCCGGCTCACTCCATCACAGCTGTGTGCTGAGGTGCCTTCTCAGGCCACTTCTGACCCTTTACCATATTGCTATTGGCTTCTAGTCAATATACATATAGATTTCTGGTGGTGAGATTACTTGGTACCACATGTCTGCAAAAATGACACCTCTTAAAACTCTTGTGGCAGCACACTGATGGCTGCCCTTATCATGAACAGCTCTGTAGAGAGCACTGGGGATGGAAGCTTACACTCAGATCACTTCTACCAACATGGATTTGGACTGGGCTAGCAGGTGGGGCTAGGGCACACAGCCACTCCACCAGCCATAAACCCCTAGGCCCCAAGATGTGGTCCTGCTCCCACACCACAAAGAGAATGCCAGTTGCCAGTCACTGAATCCAGAAGTTTCTAGCCAGTCCCGAGGTTAGGATATGGTTATCTTTAAGCATCCAGATTAATTTCCTCTCAGGTCAGTGACCAGGTCAGGGCTGGCAACCCAAGAATGTCACAAACCAAGAAGCTGTGGCTACCTTGATGTTAACTGCAAACGTGCGCTGCCTCCTTTCTTCTAGCTCTGCACTCCCGTTAGCCTTGGTGAGCAGTTGTGCTGCCAGGACCCCAAGCAAAATTAACTTCCCCCAAACCAATAACCTCCAAATCACAAGACATAGGACATGATTCTTTTCTAAATCAATACAATTTCTCAAATTTATTTATTTTTCTTAAAGAAGTACTTCTAATCTCTGTCAAAAGGGAGGTTAGGAAAGGTACCCCCTCCCTTGTAAACACTGAAATACAGATCTGGGAAACCAGGATCGACACACACAAAAAGTGCATTTTACAAAATATCAACTAAAATATATTTTACATGGATTATACTTCCATTGAAATTCTACCAGCCGCATTTTTATTTTCGAAAAAATATTTCCACATCTCAGAGATTTCAAAAGCATTTAACATCTGGGCAGCAGCCCCTGCCTCCTAGGAGAGTATTATCTCCTTTTCTGTGGGCGAGGCTGAGCTCCTTGGCAGCACCCTAGAACAAGCAGGCTCCAAAGGGTCCACCGCCACTCTGCCAACCTCTTACTTATGCCTTGCTCTTCCAGATTGATGCCTTCCTCCAAAGAGCTTATTCAATACAAAGTCATCCCTTTGGGTCTGGGACAGGGCTTCCAAAATAAAAATTAACCTCTGAAGCCTTCAGGCTCTCACCCAGCCCAATTACCCATCAGGAGCAATTTATCTTCTAAGAATCAGGACCTGGACCTGGAGTTGCCAGGGCTTTACCTTCAGGGTTCACTTCTATCTCCCATTGTAGCCTGTGCCAGACTGTACTCACCCCAGTGTCATCTCCTCAGACTGCTGGACCTGTCTCCCCTCTCTAGGGAAGGGCCCAGTGCCACCTTCCACAGCATATGCCCCTGGAGCATGCCCTTGTAGAAGTGCTTAGCTGGCAGGTTTCCAGTGGTGGACCCAAACCCAACCACACTGCACCCTCCCCAACCCCCATGCTCCTCTTTGGTACGAAGACGGTACAAATAACTAGGCTTCCAACCCCTAGGAGAGCCCAGGCCCAGGCCTGGACAGCAGGGGACCCAGCCTCCTGACCAATCTCTGGTGGGAACGTGAGGTGAGAACAAACCTCTGGGCAACAGGAAGAAACTGAAAATGCAGAGTCCTAGCTCCTAGAGTAAGTGGCTACAGCTCTCTGGTCTGTGGACTGATACAGTGTTGATTCTCACTGGGATGTAAATTAGTGCAATCTACAAAAGACTAGGGTAAGGGGTGGCAGGGCAAGGGGAGCCACAGCACTCCTTTGGTTTGATTTCAGGTGGGTGTGGCTTAAAGAGTCATGTGTGAAGTTCTGGGAGAGGTTTCCCAGAACCTCCAAGTATAAGGCAAGAGGAAAAATCTTCAACAAATCAGGTAGCAATTTTCCTTGTCCCCTGCCCCCCACCCTCTCTCCCAGCACTCATCAGCTCTTTCAGACATGACAAACTCCATGTTGACCAGAACTCTGGGAAGCCAGACCTGCTGGGTGGCCCTTAATGGAAAGCTGACGGAAGGCAGACACCCATGGGTGGGCCAGGTCAACTTGTGCCAGCACCAGTGGCTACTGCAGGGGTTTAGAAGAAAGCCAGGGAAAAGCCTCCAGTCCAGGAAAAGGAAGTCAAAGCTCGGCTCCTTTTGACTCACTGGAGCAAGCCGGAGCTGTGCTAGAATGTGCAGAGCCTGGTCCCAGGCTGACAGGGAAGCAGCAGGTCACAGTGGGTGAGGTAAAGCTGGCTCCTGCCACCCTCAGAAGGCCTGGGGAGGCTAGAAAGGGCCTGGTGGGCCTGTTTCTGCAAGGACCTTACCCCTTTCTACTTGCCCCTGCCCTGGCCCACGTCCCTCAGGTGTGGCCCAACCTCAGGGAAGACTGAATCTTCGGAGTCTCCACCCTGGGGTGCACAGATGGGCACCTCAGACCAAGCAGAGGGCTCAGGTGACTTTCTCATATCCTGGCCTCCCTTTCTCCCATGTGGCCCAGAATCCATATGGCCCCTGCCCTCCCTCCCCCCCCAGAGAACCACAGGCCAGCAACCCATGGCCCCTTAACCAAGTGCTGTGCTTCAAGCAGTATCCCCAATCCCAGGCCCCACTCTCTGGAAGGCTGCTGAGTATGAGCATGAAGAGGCTACTGGGGGTTCTTGAGGATGCGGCCATGGCGGAAGTCATAGACATGGCGGCAAAGGAACACCAGCTCAGGATCCGTGTCCTCGGGCACTGTGCGGTGTGGTGGTGTGGAGTAGTCTGAAGATGGGGGCACCAGTGCTGTCTTTCGGCTGGGAAGGCCCTCACCCCGGCGCTTGGCCATGGCACAGAATCTGCAACAACACACCAGAACTGTCCTCAGCACAGTCACTTTTCTAAGAAAACCAATTCCTTCCCAGTCTACCCACTGGGCGGGAACAGAGAGGGCGGCATTGCCTCCGTTCTTATCCCCAAGGCTGTGTACACTGCAACAACTTCCAGCTAACTCCAGCTCCAGGACACACAAACCTCCTTCCAGAGCTTCCTCCCAAAATACCTCCCATTTCCCTAGATTTCTCTCAGAAATCTAGGAAGTAAAAATCACCAGGAGGGTTGGGTTAACCTGTGTTCTCTAATTACTCTACCTTAGGAAGGGACAGTTCTATCTGACAATTAAAAAATAAAATCCCAGCCAAGTATAGTGGTGCACACTTTTAATCCCAAAGGAAGGCAGATCTGAGTTCAAGGTCAGCCTGGCTACATACTGAGTTCTAGGACAGCTAGAGTTACATAGAGAGACTGTCTCAAATGAAACTAAACAAACAAACCAACCAAACAAAAAGTGTTAAGAGCAGTAGTTCTCAACCTTCCTAATGTTGCCATCCTTTAATTCATGTTATGGTGTCCCCCAACCATAAAATTATTTTCATTGCTACTTCATAGCTGTAATTCTGCTACTGTTATGAATCATAAATATCTGTGTTTTCCAATGGTCTTAGGCGACCCCTGTGAAAGGGTTGTTTGACCATCAAAGGGGTTGTAACCTACAGATAGAGAAACTGTGTTAGAAGAAGGGTTTAGGGAAGAACGTGCTGAGCCAGTAAGATTGGGCCCAGAGCATAAAGTGATTTCTTTGGGACCTCCATGCAGTTTCCCCAAACTACCCTTGATGAGTCCGAGGGGAGAGGCCAGCTACAGGCACAGGGCACT